CCTCACGAGTCATTTCGCCGTACAGTGTCGGGGCAACATTGGTATCGCCGTCGGCCTTGGCTTCTCGGTCATCGGCGCGGCCTGGTATGCGATGATCTCGGTCCATCTCTTCTCGTGCTAAGAGGAGCTACGGCGTAGGGGCATCTTCTTGACGGGCTCGAGCTTGCTCGGCGCTGCGGTCAAGGCGCCGCGCATTCGCTCCAAGAACTTGGTGTCGATCATTTTCTGCGAGGCGACGGCCATTTACGGTGTCATTATCTCGATCATCTTGCAAAACAAGGTCGAGGTGCCCGGCGTGCGCGGCCCGCACGACGCGCCGCTCGACCTCAACCAGCTCTACTTTGCTGGCTACGCGGTCTTTGGCGCCGGCCTCGCGGTCGGCCTCACCAACATTGCGAGTGGCATCTCGGTCGGCATCGCCGGTAGTTCGTGCGCGCTGGCCGACGCCCAGAACGCCAACTTGTACGTCAAGATTTTGATTGTCGAGATTTTCGCCAGTGCGCTCGGTATCTTTGGCGTCATCGTCGGCATCATCATGTCCAACAACGCGGGCTTCCCCAAGTAGACGGAGACATGCGACGAAGCCGCTGTCGCCGTCCTTCTTCGATTAGTCCTTTGTGGTCTACATACAGCACGACGATTTGCATTTGAGTTCTACCATCGCATCGTACACATCTCGACGCCTCTACGCAGCACCAAGGGATGCATCGTGCACGGGCATTCCGTTGGTAGCAGTAGTCCCCACAGCGTAGCCCGGACAAGGCTGCATGCAACGTAGCTTCATTGGGCACCGCTTCGACCCCGGACAAGTACAAGTAGTACAATAGATTGGAGTTTTGTGTTTCTTTTTACAAATGCAGCACCATCTCGTCGACGCGGTGCTTGGCCTGCAGCACGCGGGCAACATCCGGGAACGCCTTGACGACTCCGCAATGCTTTGTATCAAAGTACGCGCCGAGCTTGCTGAGACTGCTGCGCCACGCCGGTGGCAGCGTCGTCGTCGGGCGCCCCGCGAGACGCGCGAGCCCGTCATCGAACGTCGCCCGCGGGACCACGTCGATCGTGTGGCCAAGCGTCGACGTGGCGAGCTCGCGCAGCATGGCCATGACGCCGTTGAGCTGGCGTGTGTTCAAGTACATGTCGTCCCAGTGCTCGATGGACGGGTACAGCGGCACGCTCGGCGTCGCAATCACCCGGACACTGCTGTCAATGCGTGCTTGGACGTCCCGTCCATCTTGGTGCAGCGGCGGCATGTGCGCCATCGACCGCGGCTAGATGCATCATTCGCACCAAAACATGAGTGTCCATCACCACAGTGTCTTAGGACGTGTACCTCGAGGAGGAGCCGGTACGGCAAGCTCTCGTCGTGCTCGATCGCGTCGCGGATGCACTTGACAAGCGACGCAATCGCGTCTTTCTCGTACGCGAGGCGGGACGAGACAAAGCTCCGGAGGTCGTCCTCGAGCGACGTCAGCACGAGGTCGACGTAGCCCATCGTGTCGAGCACGCGCTCTTGCAGCGCGGCGAGCCGACTCAGTACGTAGTCGTACTCGAAGCCGACGCCGGCGACTGCATTCAACGACGCTATCGTGTCCCTCTTGGCGACCGGTGTCGCGGTGCCGGCATCCTTCTCCCTCTTGTTGGCGGTTGTCATCGGCGCTGCTGAAGCGCCACTTGGCGTCGCAGAGCCCGGTACGTTCGGCAGCTTGAGCGCTTTGGACGCAACGGTGGCAAGCGCGTCCTTGGCTCTTTGATACGCAGCGGCGACCTCTTGCGCCGGCGTGAGCGGCACGACTTCGACTTCGACGACGGCCACCTTCTTCTTGGCCGACGCCTTGGTGGGGGCGACGACGGCTTCCTTCTCGTCCTCGACCGGGTCTTTACCGAGTGGGAGAAGCGGAATCTTGCCGTCGTCCGTCGACTTTACAAAGCCGACTTCGAACCCGGCGATCGCATCGGTGATGACGGTGACGCTGGCGTGGAAGACGTCGACTTCGGCCTGGAAGAGCATCGTGCCGAGGAGCTGAATCGACATTAATGCATCTTCCTTCCATTGGTCGCGAAGGAGCGTCTCGAGCAGCGCAACTGCTTCGGCGCCCTTGGAGTCGAGCACCACGACGAGCTGGTCCAAGAGACTGTCGACCCGCAGGTGCAGCTCGGCCTTCGTGCTCGCGTCGAAGCGCATGTCATGCAGCACACT